GGACCATCTTGTTTCGTGCATTGCACAGAGATCGATTCGTCTGCGCTCTAGTGCCTCTGCCAATTCACATGAACGTCCGGTCAAGGTTCCCACGTTCAACGTTGCAATACGGACTTTACACGCTACACTGCCTGAAATTTGGACTAGCCTGGTCGCCCCCGATGCCGTCCTTGCACCGAGGACCCTCGCATACTTTCCACACTCGCCGGGCCATACGAGTGCGCGTCGGCTCCCGCGGACGCCGTAGCATTATCTCGATATACATATGGCATGATCAATGTGACATGGGTGTTCGTAGGCCGGCCCGTCACGGAGGCCTGTCACCTGCATTCGTGTGTCTGCGTTTAGCAACTCGCAAAGCGAGCAGTACCCAGTGGCACCGCGGGGAGGAGCAGACGTCACCACCACACAGGTGCGGATCTAGAGGGTAGTAATGCCCGGGAGTTATCTTGTCACTCCACCCAAACTACCTTCAAGGTGCTGCACGTGTGTCGATACCAAAACCTCCCAACAATACTACAGCACCAGAGAACAACCAGAAGAGAGAGGGCGCAAGCAAAGAACGCGTTTGACTATGGTTAGGAATGTGGCTGGCCGTGCAGCAGCACTGGCGGAGGCCGGAGACCTAGAGGTATCACTACCTTAGCAGCCCCGCGCATTTGAGCGGAGAATCACTACCCTTCGTCCCGTTTTCCTGCTCATTCGAGCGAAGAAAATTGCGCTGTGCAGCTAGTGCAGCTAGTAGCTATTCACGTCGCTCAAGTAAAAGACATGGATCACTGAGGTAGTGTGCAGTTTGTCCTCAAGCTTTTGGCCAGATGGATCTGATATTTTTCGGCAGGGTGGAGTTTAATGCAAGATCGCTGCCCTGCCGAAAAATATCCATGCATGCATAAATGCAATGACACTACTTTGCTTTTCTCTCCACAGAGGTTAGAAGGCGGAATTAATTACAATGCAGCTGCTCTGCCGGGAATTGTCGGGTGAAGTTTCTTTTCAAAGTGGCTAGGGTGCTGTTCATAAAGTAAACCCGATTACTGACGGCCAGAACGATGCAGGCATACCTCGCCTTATGTAGCTCAAAAAGCAAGAAATTCAACAGGTTTTCGGAAAACTTTGCATTCATGAGTGGTCCAGTAACAACTAATCAATAGTCTAGCCCCTGTTTGCGCTTAGCGTTTAATGTTTAAATATACCCTCTCAAAAGTCAGAAATTCATTCATATTCTTTCATATTACTACACTATGAGAACGCGCCGAAATTTCATAGGAAAAATAGTATCTCAATAATATGGTGTTGATAACATCACTTTAGTTCTGTTTCGAAGCAATGGAGGAGAGCGGATCACTGGGTTTGGAGGAGCTTCTGACGAAAAACAAGAACAAATTCCTCGCCGGAGTAGACTTCACCTGCATATCGGACAGCTACTGGCTGGGGACGACAAAACCATGTCTTACTCACGGACTGAGGTAAGAAAATGCGAAATGCAGCTCTTTTTCAAAGTGACGGGAGAGGGTCAGTGAGCAAATGTCAACCCCCCCCCCCCCCAAATCGTTCTCAACCTGCATGTGCCGATGAAGCTAACCATAAGAAGCCAGTTGATAACAATGACCACGGTATAACTGTAGGACACACCTATGGGATTTTCGCCAACTCGAAAGTAACCGATTGCGACTTTCAGAGGGATCTGTTCGTTCAATGTGGAAGTGACTGGAATACAGCAAGATCGTGCTCATTGTTTTCAACTGTATTCTTATGGTTAGCTTCATCGGCACATGCAGGTTGAGAACGATTTGGGGGGGGGATTGACATTTGCTCACTGACCCTCTCCCGTCACTTTGAAAAAAGGTAGCATTTCGTATTTTCTTACCTCAATCCATGAGTAAGACATGGTTTTGTCGTTCCCAGCCAGTAGCTGTCCGATATGCA